TAGGGAACCTCATTGTTTTACTATAACAGTTGATATGAATATAGTTGAACTCCAACCAGTTCATTCCAAGAATAACATCAATTTGGTGTAAGGGTAGACACACCAAATCCAACATGATACTTCTATCATAAATCGTTAATGGACACTTTGAGCAAACAAGAATAGTAGTAACAAAACCCTTAGTAGGAAGTTCTACTACCATTCCCCCATTCATATCAGACAACTTTAATTCCAACATAGTAGCACATTCAAGCGAAATAAATATATGAGTAGCACCAATATCAATAATAGCGATTAACTCAACATTGTTAATAAAACAAGTACCTCAGATTAGGTTGTCCTTCTTGTCAACTTATGAACCACTCAGAGCAAACACTCTGACATTGATCTGAGCAGCAACAACATTCTTCTTTGGTTTCTTACACTAGGTAGTGATGTGAACATGTTCACCACAGTTAAAGCAAGTAGGACCTTCATTCTTGCATTCATTGACACGATGACCAACCTTGCCACACCTGTAACATATTAACACCTTATTAGTGCGAGCATCAACACTGTGGCCTAACTCTCCACACCGGTAGCATTTCACAGAAGAAAGAGCTCCTCCCCTACTAGGCTTCTTCTCATCATAAGCTTTTTGTTTTCCTTTATCAGTGGGTGCAGCATATGTTTTACCATAATCATGATTCTTTCCCTTCTTCTTATTATAATTCTTATAATAAGAAGCTTTATCTCTATTATCCTGATCGAATATTCTACATTTGTTCACCAACATAGGAAACTGAAGAATCTTCAGATATTCAATACCATGCTTGATCTATGGACGTAGTCCATTCTCAAACTTAATTCACTTCGACACTTCAGCTATTGGGTCATTATAATGCGGACAAAATTTCACCAGTTCCTCATACCTATTCGCATACTCAACAATTGTCAGACTTCCTTTCTTTAGCTCAAGGAACTTGATCTCCTTATTTCCATGCACATCTTCCAGAAAGTACTTATACAGAAAAGTAGTCCTGAATGCAACCCGAGTAATCTCTGTGCCCAGAATCTCTATTCTCTAGCGCACATTATTCCACCAATCATCGACTTCTTCTTCCAACATGTGCTTGCTAAACTGCACCTTCTGATCTTCCGTGCAGACCACTACCCAGAAAAAATTTCAATCCCCTTAAGTCATGCTTGCACACCATCTGCATCGTGTCTGCCTTTGTTGATCGGCAGGTTGTTTCTCTGAAACCTCCCTCATGCACGAGCGTCACCATCATTTCCTCTATTATGGTTTTGTTGACCATGCTGGTTTTGTGGTGCCTGAGCCATGACTTCCAAAGCGTTAGCAATAGTGATATCATTTCTTCCTCCATCCATAACTCTACACATAGACAACCAACATTAGAAACGTCAACATATCGACAGTATCCAAGTACTAATTGACCAACAGGAGGTAGACATCATATACGGACCAACCTGCTATGGTACCATTAATGTAACACCCTTCTAAAACCCCACGAATAATATAAATAAATAATCATAGTATTTCACCAAAAGGGCGTCACATGCTTCATAAAAAATCATACAAGCATGTCTTACTCCATAACACATATTTTCAAACAATTATAAAACATTTACTACGCAATAAAATTCATAGTTCAAAACATCTTTATTAAACACATCATCAAAACTTCATTCTTCATGGTTCATAATTCGAAACAACTTAAATACCATGAAATATAGTTCAAGATCTCATAATAAAACAATAGAACATAAATTTCAAACCAAGCGTTCCCGACTTCGATGTTACATATTAGAGCAAGACCTTCTAAAATCAACGGAAAGAAAACAACACACTCCAAGCTATATTCTAAGCTTCTACGAACTACTCCTGATCACATGCGTGTTACCCACGTGGAGGCAACACTCAATTAGAAAGGGTGAGTAATCACATTCATTGCAAAAGATATATGAAATATGCGTAGTAGTTCAAACGTAACATCATAGAATCAAAATCAACAATGTTGTCAACACATCATCAATTAACACAACAACATATACAACATCATCTAGTCAATAGTTATGCAATGCCACATAAGATGTAATGAAATAACATAGACTCATGCATGTGGTACCAATTCTTTATGAGTACTAGACTCATCACACTCCAAATATCCCCACTATAGGATCGATTCTCTCTTGGAACCGAAGCACAACATCAAAACACTAAATCCACACAATGAGATTGAGGCCAACACTGGACCAACGTCCTAAATCAACATGGAAGGACCAAATTTGTCCAAATTATAACATGAATGCATGATGCTCAACAACAGAATATCAAACGACTACAACTAGTCAAATCGCATTATCATTCATGAAATCATCAACATCATCCAATATATCATAGTTACAACATATTACCAAAATAGCATTCATAATTCATCATAACAACATACATCATGATAGACTATCTCATTGAGAATCTAAGTCTACCTTAGCCTAGGTACTAGAAATATACATATTTTTTACTCATTTTATTCCATCCACGTGTATTTTATTGTGTTAGCTATTTAACGCTTCAAACGGTTCCTCAAACAGAGTTTTAAAGCTCAAGTTATGACTCTTTAAAAATCCTACTATTGTTTGTCGCCCGGTGCTCGCCCGTCGAAGCAGTTTGCTCGCCTGAGACTCGCCCGACGACGTGGGAGCGACAACACCCTCATTCTCCTCTGGTCTCCATCGCCCGACGAAGCTTCTTGCTCGCCTGGAGACGCACCTCTCGCTCATGCATCGTCTGGGGACGCGTGAGCGAGGTGGCCTTCTCCATACAAAATCCAGGAGCACCACTTTTTCCCCATTCCTTATCTTCTCAGCTCGCACGATAATGACCAAACGTTGTTGCCTCGTCCGACGACACATCCCTCCGCCTGGCGACGCATCCCTTCGCCTGGCGACGCGTAGCAGACTGCAACTTCCTATTGTGATTCTGCATCTGTTCAGCCCCAATTCCTCTTGCAATTTCATGCCAATAAAGTCCAGATTCTCATAGTTCTCAACACATAACCATCATAAAACAACCATATAATATTATAGGCATTATGTACACAAACTCATGGCAATTCAACATGTTATTTCCATCAATTTCAACACAATACAATATATCATCAAATTATCAAAATCCTAACAAATCCAAACATACCTCTAAACCTCATACCAATTATAATGACAAATCACCCTCTTACCTTAAATTTCTAGCTTGAGTCTCTTCTCTTCGCGATCTACCGATATTCCTTTGTGTTCTTCGTGTCCTAACTTTCTCCTACGTTCTTCCAATATTTTCATGATTGTACCAAATGAAATATTTTTCCTTATTCCTTATTTAACCTTTGGACCCCTAATATGTTTTGCCAACTTCTCCTCACTTAGTCTTTCACCAATTACCATCTTGCCCTTATCTTCTCTACATCAATTATTTCTCTATTTTATTATTAATAATAATTCTAACAAATTTTAAATAATAACTAATTATCTAATTACTAGAATACTCCTTACTCACCTAAATTCCCATTATCCCACAACATATCACAACATCACACATCATACTCAATAAAACATCATATATTCATCAATTATTCATAATTACTCATAATTAAAATATTATATAAGTAATTACGAATTTTGGAGTGTTATACTCTTTGTCTCCCACGATTGTTTCCTACCGATATGACAGCTGGCAATGAAAGTGACGTGTGTATTAGTATAACGGTCTGTTCTTCAAAGCATGGATCAACTATTTCTTTTAAAAATGAGAAGACAAGAATACAAGAACAGTAACGCTGCCAAAAATCAAAACAAGAAAAAGAAAAGATTAAAACACAAGAGTTGTTGCTCATTATTGTGTTGATATTATTAATTATTAGAACTCAAGAGTTGTTGCTCATTATTGTGTTACTATTATAATTTGTTTGAACACCAGAGTTGTTGCTCATATTTGTGTTAAACAATTTGTACTTAAACATTCGTGTAATCCGTTTGTGAGAAGCAATCTTATAAACACATTATTCAACTGTAAATTGATTGTTTCTTGAGTGACTAAGGTGTTAGCCAGAATACTTAAGAAGATTTAGAGAAATCTTCTTCAAGGGACCAGGTAAGTCAGAAACCTTAAGGAGTCAATGATCGTTATATCTCTAAAGAGATCAGGTAGGTTAAAATTCTTAAGGGATCAGTAACAAGTTATCATTGCTTTGTCGATAGTCACAAAACGATATCTTCACTAATAAATTTATGTGTGAGATAGTAGTCCATTATTTATAAAGGATTAGAAAACTTGTAAAAAAAAATGCAAGTTTGATTCCGCTACTAAATTTGCAAAGTAAATACAAACTAGTTTCAATTTTAAGGTAAAAACACAAAGGAACAAGTAACTTTTTCATTTGTCAAATATAAAAAGGAACAAGCCTTGTCAAACACTATTTCTTATTCTACAAGCTAGCTGTCACTTGTAGTGTTGCATTAAAGAATAAACACTAACAAATTTTAAAACTCAAGTTTAAAAGATCTAAATAACTCTTATATGAAGTATCTTTATAGACAAGTTGATTTTTCTCTTCTTATATGTTGATCTTGAAGTCACTATTCATTATGATTTCGTGAGTTCTAAAAATTACAAGAACTAACAAATACTAACTACAAGGTTCAATACTTCATCCAAGTTATGCAACAAAAACCAGTAGCATCAAAAAAAAAACTCAACTCTACTAAACAAAAGAAATTTAAAACCAGCAACATAAAAAAATCAGTAGCATACAAAAACCAATAGAATCAAAATGTAAATCTCAGCTCTACTAAACAAAAGAAAAACAACATCAACACATATAAAGACATTGGCTATGCAAGGGAATATAAACATCCCAAACTAGTTACTATAACTTTAAAGTGATTGACAAAACGGACTTCAGAATATAAATTCTCAAAGTTTTGATGGTGTGATGTTTCAAACTTCAATGCCCGGCGGCGACATTTCCTTGGAGAAGACCCTCTCTGACTTGTGAAGCAATATCTTTCACAGCACCCGGTCCGTGTGGAACAAAAACCGAATTGGATTTTGACGATGCGCCAATCTCCTTCAACGTGTCAAAGTATTGGGTCACAAGAACCATGTCCATGACATCCTTTGATGATGTCCCGGGGACATTCTCTGCAAATGCAACAACACTGTCCCTCAGCCCGTCAACTATGGCTTGACGCTGACGAGCTATTCCAAGCCCGGCTAGATACTTTGATTCTGCGTCGCCCTCTGCCCTTTTGATATACAGAATCTTCTCTGCTTCAGCTTTCTCATTTGCAGCCAATCTAAGTCTTGCCGCTATTCGCAATGATTGAAACATGATAAAGAAAACAAAAGAGAAAATGTCAAGCATATTAACATGTTTTTGCTCAACAAAATTTGTCTATAGATCTGGGCCATCATTGAAGACGTACAAGACAGACTACTGCACGTGGTTCAAAATTTGTTACGCTTAAACCGTAGTTAAAAAGGGCCTCCTAAAATATTTCTTATAGGAAAATCGTGGTTAAATAGAGCCGATTTTTATTTTACCTTGGTTAAACTGAAGCTAATCTACACAGAAAGATTAAAAACTTGAGATGGCTTTGGTAAAGATGTTTCTCAATTGCAATAAACTTGTGCGTTTTGGGAGGATATTCATTTCATACTGATACAATTATATGCAAATGTGGAAAGCATACCAGCATTTATCTCATTCATGGCTTTTTTCACATGCTCATCTGGTTCAATATCCACAATGAGAGTCTGAACTATCTCATACCCATAAGCCGACATCGCCTTCATACGAAAAAAGAGTAAAAAAATACATTTATGAATGCTAACAACTTATTACATGACATCAAAATAGAGAAAACAAATTACCTTTTCAAGCTCTTCCTCAACGGCTTTTGCAATATCATTCTTCTGTTCAAAAGAAGAATCTAGTTCCATTTTTGGAATGGTTGCCCGGATAACTGAAATAAGAAACATGAGTTTATCAGTTTCATCCGGGAGAAGCATTAGAAAAAAAACAACTTGGAATAATTTGTATTAGGAGCCTAGACTTCAAAGTTCAAATCAACACCATCAAAGACATAGGCTTGGATCTGTTCTCTGGTATTGGTAAGTTTGTAAAAAGCATCCACCGCATTTTCTGCCAGTGCTCGATATTGGACAGATGCAACCACAGTCACAAAAACATTGTCCTGATGGGATGTAATATAACATCTAGATTAGATAAGCATAAATCGGGGTATGAACATATATTCAACCTTTAGATACATTAAATAACTAAAGTATCGGGACAATATGCACAATATACATTGTGTATTAAGTGAATCTAAAAAGTAAACTTTTTCTTACAAATAGGATCAGAGTAGTTATTTGTCTTGGTTATGCATTTTAGATTTTAAGAACAAACCTTTGTCTTGGTTTCACAACGAACATCTAGTTGCTGCACACGCAAAGAAAGGTAACCGGCTATTTGTCTACCCATGAACCATGGCACACAGTGGCAACCAGGTTCAAGCACATCCTCATATCTGCCAAAAACTTCTCGGATCGCTACTGTTGACTGTTCGACTTGAAGACAACCCAGAGCTAGTCCCATCTTTAGTAAAACTCTGAACATAATCAGTGAGAAAGTCTAATAAGATGCCTCAAAAACTCCTTTTAAGTATTGATTAATTGCTACATATTATAGCAATGCAAATATAATCAAAGGATAAGATACAACACGAATACTAGACATACACTAACATAAATAGGTGTCTGACACGACTTCCATATGATATGATGCTGGTGCTACATAGCTAAAATTACTATCTTGTTCCCTAATTATTTCTTCGTCAATCGGTCATATTTATAAGAAAATTTTTACTTTTTAAATACATTAAATATATAAATCAGATATATTGATTACTCAATAAATTTAAAACGGTGTGGTACGTGATATGGTATGATATAAGATAATTAACAAATCTAGTTAAAGGATTTACACATATGGCAGTTACTTTAACCACAATGAATGATTTTCCAAGTATTCAAAAGCATGATGAATGAATAATAATGTGAAACACAGAGTAAAAGAAAGAAAACTAGAGAGAAAAATATTCAAAACCATAATGCAGTGAAGTTTGTCAAAAATGCTATGATAATCATGATATATTGAATCAAAATCGAAGCGAATAATTCAAAAAGAGAAGAAAACACATGCAGTGAATAAAAGAAACAGAGAAAATGGTTCTATCACCTTAAAGATAGATAGATGGAGAATGAGAGCAACAAAATTGAAACTCGATGCACTTCTACGCTTTTCCTGTGATTTGCATCTTCCTTTTTTTTTACTTTTTTTTAGTCACTTTTATTAAATTTCACACTTTTAAAAATATAAATTTGATCGATACACATTATTTGTTCAAAAAATCACATGACAACTAATTATTCGAGAATTTAACCTTCCACCCTAAAAATTGAACTTAGCAGCCTCCAGCCTCCAATAAGGGCTGCTTTTATTTTATGCGCTTACAAAAATAATTTTAAATTTTTTTTTGGTGTTTATTAGAAATTTTTAAAAAATATCAGATTTTTTAAAAAATCTTATAGTTCATATTCAACAAAAAAAAAAAAAAGTAAAATACTCTTTTTAGTCCTTTAAGTTTACCCCAAGATCCATTTTGGTCATTTATCTAAAAAAAGTGTCAAACTGGTCCTATAATTCTTTCAAAATGACCATAGGAGTCATTTCCGTTCATTTTGGTCCTTTTTTGTTCAGCCCATCCTTCTTTATTTCAATTTGTAACTCCATTATCTTATGTTTCAGCCCATCCTTCCTTTCTTTTAGATGATGTATCTCCATCTTTGCTCCATCAAGCTCATTTTGCAGCTTCTCCAATGAACCAAAAATGACCAAAATGGACGGAAAGGACTCCTATGGTCCTTTTGAAAGAATTATAGGATCAGTTTGACACTTTTTTTAGATAAAGGACCAAAATGGACCTTGGGGTAAACTTAAAGGACTAAAAAGGATATTTTGCCAAAAAAAATTATTTATCTTACATACGGAAAATTGTAATATTTTTTGAAATTTTCGATAGTATTAAAAAAATTTATTTTTATTTTTAAAAAAATTCATATGTTAAAAGTAATTTTTTGTGTCGAAGCAGTTTGCTTGACAGAGACAGGGGAGTGTCGAAAATATTTTCTTTCTTTCTTTATCTTTAATTCTTTATTGTCATTGTTGTTCGATACCAATCTTGTTCATCAAGATTGAGAGAAATTCATCATAAATTTTGGTGGAATTTCAACATCTGGTATTAAGAGCTCCGGTTGAGTGATTCAAGGAAAGAACGATCGAGGAAGAAGAAGAAATTCACGATGGTGATGAATTATGCGAATGGAAATTTTTCATCAAATCTTCCAATTCTTAAAGGTGATAACTATGAGAATTGGTGTAAACAGATGAAGGTTATATTCGACTTTCAAGATCTTTGGGATCTTGTGAAGTATGGAGTAGAATCACTTGATGAAAGCACTTAAGAAGCGAAAGAAGCGGAATACAAAGAATTGAAGAAGAAGAATTATAAAGCTCTCTTTATAATTTATCAATGTGTTAGCCCAGACAATTTAGAAAAAGTTAGTGATGTAGAATCTGCAAAAGAAGTCTGGAAAATTCTCAAGAAATTGTTTGGAGGTACTGAGAAGGTGAAAGAGGTGAGGTTACAAACTCACAAAAGAACGTGTGAATTGCTTCAGATGGAAGACAACGAGAGCATATCTGATTTCTTCACTAGAGTTACGAAACTAGTGAATCAAATCAAGACTTGTGGAGAGACGTTAACAACAAGAGTTGTTGTTTCGAAGATCTTGAGATCTTTGGCCCCGAAGTTCGACCATGTGATAGTTTCCATAGAATAGTCAAGGACATGTCAACTTTTTCAAAGGAAAAGCTTCAAGGGACGCTTGAATCTCATGAACAAAGAATGGCTGAAAGAGTTGCAGGCAAGTCGAAGAATGATCTGGCTCTACGGGTTCAATCAGCAAAAGACAAGAAAGGCCAAGGAAAGTGGTTCGACAATAAAGGTAGAGGTGGCTACAACAATTCGACTGGTAGAGGAAACCAGCATGAAGAAAACGCGTTGAATCAGAGAAGGCCATACCAAGGCAACCAAAGAGGTGGTGTTGCAAATAGAGGAAGAGGTGGTGGTCGAAAACCTGACAAGAGTCACATTTAGTGTTACAATTGTCAGAAATATGGTTACTATTTGAGTGATTGTCCAGAAAAGCGAAAGAATCAAGAAAGTGATGCAAAGTTCGCAAAGTATTAGGAAGAAGAGATGTTGTTGATGGTCACAACAAGAGATGAAGATAAATTCAAAGACCAATGGTACTTGGATTCAGGATGCTCATCACACATGTCTGGAAGGAAAGATTGGTTTGTCAACATAGAGTCCTCAATGAAGAACATGGTGAAATTTGTAAATACAATACCGTAGCAGCTGAAGGTATCGGTGATGTTATTATCATGAGGAAAGATGGAAATAGGTCAGTAATTTCGAATGTGGTGTATATTTCAGGCCTGAAGAGCAACTTGCTCAGCATAGGGCAATTTGTCGAAAAAAATTATAGATCAAAGACAAAATGATGAGAGTTATCGACATAAATGGAAGGATAATCTTGAAGGCTCCAATGTCTCAAAATAGAACCTTCAAGATTGAACTTAATATGATGGAACACAAGTTCCTTTCAACTGCAACTAGCAGAGGCGAACGGATATGGCACTATCGACTTTGCCATCTCAACTTCAGAGACATCTGAGGTTTGAAGATAAAGAATATGGTTTATGGATTACCAGAAATTGGCATTCCAAACGAGGTGTGTAAGAAATGTGTGCAGGCAAAGCAACACTAGAATAGTTTCAGCAAAGATGCAGAAAGCAGGTCAAAGGCTATTCTTGAAGTTATGTACTCGGATGTATGTGGACCAATCCAGGTGGATTCAAATGGAGGTAACAAATATTTTTTACATTTATAGATGATTTAAGTCGAAAACTGTGGACTTACCTGATCAAGAAGAAAAGTGAAGTGATCGAGGTATTTGTCAAGTTTAAGTCTATGGTCGAAAGACAAAGTGGTCGAAAGCTCAAAGTTTTGAGAACTGGTGGTGGTGGAGAGTATGTGTCAAAAGATTTCGGCAAATTATGTGAAAAAGAAGGGATTGTGCATGAAGTGGTGCCACCCTACACTCCACAGCAGAATGGAACTGCAGAAAGGAAGAATCGAACCATCATGAATATGGTGAGAAGCATGTTGAAAGAAAAGTGTTGATCTAAAGAGTTTTGGGATGAAGTTGTGTCGATTGTAACATACATCCTAAAGAGATGTCTGACAAAGAAGCTAGAAGGAATTACTCCAGAAGAATATTGGTCTGGTGTGAAGCCTATCTTGAGTCATCTGAAGGTATTTGGATCTATTGCACATAGATATGTGATAGATTAGCTGAGAAGAAAACTTGATGACAAGTCGAGTCAAATGATCCTAGTTGGATATCATTCGACTGGAGGTTACAAGTTGTTCGACCCTGTGAACAAGCAGATTATGGTCAGCAAGGACGTAATCATAGATGAACTTAAAGAACGGAATTGGACTGAAAATGTCAAGAAAGATTCAGTGAGAATCTTACTTGAAGAACCAGCAAAAACTCAAGTCGAAAGAGAAGTTCGATAAGAGGAAGAAGTTAGAGATCAACCAAGTACTAGCAGACCTCAAAGAACAAGACGCATTCCTACAAGATAACGAGATTGTGTGATTACATCAAATTATGTGATTGATAACAAAGGTGAGCTTTTACATTATACTTTCTATGCATATGTCGAACCTATAAATACAATTAAAGCATTAAAGGATTCAAAGTGGGTGAAAGTAATGAACGAAGAAGTGAAGTCTATCGAAGACAACAACACTTGGTCACTTATCGAATTGACCCAAGGCAAGAAGGAAACTGATGTCAAGTGGGTATACAAGTTGAATATGAATCCCAAAGGGGAAGTAACTCGACACAAAGCAAGGCTCGTGGAGAAAGGATTTCTCCAGAATGAAGGAATAGACTTTGATGAGGTTTTTGTACTTGTGGCTAGAATCGAAACAATCAGGTTGGTTGTTGGTCTAGCAGAAATAAACAGTTGGCACATATGTCAGATGGAAGTGAAATGTGATTTTCTATATGGCCCCTTAGACGAAGAAGTTTAGGTTAAACAACCAGTTGGGTTTGTGAAACATGACAAAGAGAGAAAGGTGTACAGGCTGCATAAAGCCCTGTATGGATTGAAACAAGCTCCAAGAGCTTGGAATAAAAACATTGATAGTTTCCTAAGGGAGAAGGAATTTGTGAAATGCACAACTGAACATGGAGTGTATGTAAGAAGAAGCAATAATGAATTGCTTATACTATGTATTTATTTCGTTGACTTGTTAATAATGGGTAGTCGCAAGAAAGATATCGAAGACTTCAAAGGTGATCTCAGTAAGGAATTCGAAATGTATGACCTGCGTGACATTTAATGTTTCCTTGGCATCAAATTCTACAAGAGTATTAGAGGTTTGATGATGCATCAAAGAAGATACGTGGGAGAAATACTCAAGAGATTTAAGATGGAAGAGTGCAACTCGACTTTGACACATGCAGAACCAAGACTATAACTGTCAAAAAATGCAGATGAAGATGATGTTGACCCAACCCAATACATAAGACTTATTGGATCATTAAGATACCTTTGTCACACGAGCACTAACTTAACATACATTGTAGGTATGGTAAGTAGATTCATGCAGGAGCCAAAGGTATCACACCTAGTAGCGGCGAAGAGGATACTAAGGCAACTGAAAGGAACTCTTGACTATGGCGTTCTGCTTCCTGTAGCTGATAAAGGAAAAGAGTGTAAGTTAGTGGTATACACTGGTTTGAGTTGGTGTAGTAATGTTGAGGATCGAAAATCCACAGCAGGATATGTGTTTATGCTAGGTGGTGCACCATTTGTTTGGAGTTCAGGAAAGGAATCAGTAGTGGCATTATCATCATGCAAAGCAGAATATATAGATGCTTCTCTTTGTGCATGTCAAGTAACATGGATGGTGAACTTGGTCGAAGAGATTACAGGGAAAGATTATGGAGAAATTACTATGAAGGTAGACAGCATGTCAGCTATCAACCTGGCGAAGAACACGATATCTCATGGTCGAAGAAAGCACATTGAAATGAGATTCCATTATTTTCAAGAGCAGGTAGCAGATGGGAATATGAACTTGGAACGCTGCAGAACTAAGAATCAGAATGCAGACATCATGACAAAGAGTGTGCAGGTCAAAGTATTTTGAAAACTAAGAGCTATGATGAATATATATATATATATATATAGCTTAGACATAGTGAATTAGGTGGTGTGTTGAAAGTAATTCCTTGTGTCTAAGAAGTTTGCTCGAAAGAGACAAGGGACTATCAAAAAATATTTGATTTGATTTAGAAGTGTGGAAATAGTTTGTTACACACAGATTTGTTTTAGATCTAGAATAAATAAGATTTGATTTAGGTCTAAAGTAGATAAATTTGATTTAGTTCTAAAATAGGTATTTTGGGCTTTTATAGTTTTGGGATTTGCCTTAGGGAGAAAGCTAACCTAAATATATAAATAGAGGGAGTAACCCTTATTTTTGTAATCAAGTCAAACTCATTGTATTCACAGAATTTGCAGTTGCAAGTG